GGGGTCTCGAGTTGGGGCCTCACGCCCCAAGGTCTCGCAACCCAAAGGTGACTTCACCCGCAAAGAGGTGGGGATGACGAAGGCAGAGGTGGCAGAAAGAGCAGACCCGTGCAGGCACTAAGCGACGATCGCCTCAGTGGGCTCGTGGCTCCCGAGCCCGCCCAACCCTGCGAGTCCGCCGGCGGGTGCGACGTTTACGACCCAATCGCCCGCCCTTCAGGAGCCCAGGTACTTCACTGCAGCCACACGACTGCAGGCCAGCATCACGTGGGCACCTGCCGTAAACCCAGAGCCCATCACGTGACTGCCGCTACCCAAGGCGCGGGGGGCTGAGGAGAATACCATAGAGACTGCGCGGAGAAAGGCAGAGTGCCCCCTAGCGCTGTCACGTGGCCCCGGCTCGGTGGGGCCCCGCCCGGCTGCTGGCGCTCCCCTGGGGGTCTATCCGGGTCCCACCCGCCAACGCGTGGAGTTAAAGGAGACGCTTGTGATTTCAGTGCCTCAAAGCTAGCTTTTTTTTTTTTTTAAACTGCTCTTTCTCCCTTCACAATTTTTGGTGGGGAAGGCCCAGCATTGTCTTTACCTTTCTGTTTTTGAAATTTCTATCTTCCTTTTTATTATTATTATTATTATTATTATCAGTCCCTATAACGGAGATTGTCATTAAATGAGTGAATAGCATCTGGACGGATTGCATCTGTGTCTACCACATAGCGCTCAAGGAAAGTTATTGGTGGGACCAGTGGTTCAGCGGGGATCCTAGGACACACACCTATCTCCCCACTTGATTAAAACTGGAAGGGGAATACATTCTCATATACCATAGTAAAAAACCAATAGATGAAGTCCAAAATTGATCATGAAGGACTGCTGATAGGTATATACTTAGTATGTTTAGATTATGAGACCACCAGGAAAAAATGGCCAAAAGAGTTCAAAGGGGCAGGGGATAGGAAGTTAGGGGCCTCTTGCTTTTCACCTTAAGCCCTTTTGTATATTTAGTATATGTAAATGTATACATTAAATATATTTATATAAATGTATACATAATGAAATTATACACATACATTTAAACCACATGTATATATTACTTGTTAAGAAAGAAAATGAGCCTAGCTGGTTTGATTCAGTGGATAGAGGATCAGCCTGGGGACTGAAAGGTCCTGGGTTCAATTCTTATCAAGGGCACATGCCCGGGTTGTGGATCCATCCCCAGTGGGGGGTGTGCAGGAGGCAGCCAATCCATGATTCTCTCTCATCATTGATATTTCTATCTCTCTCCCTCTCCCTCTCCCTCTCTGAAATCAATTTAAAAAAAATTTTTTTTAAGAAAGAAAATGAAGGGAAGAAGGAAGGGAGGGAAGAGAAGGGTGACTGGATAGGAACATGGTGCTTTCTGCTCCCAGACTTCCCCATTTGCCATCCTATACAATCCCTTCTCACCACAACTACAATGCCTCAAGAAAAATGTATTCTACTCTGATCACAGGATTCCTTAGCCCTGTCACTCACTAATCACCTTCCTTGTCCCCACCAGCTGCCTCCAAACCAGCTCCTGTTCTTTTCCCTGAAAGACCCTAAGTCCCAAACCAGGAAGTCACTTTAGATTCATGGCCCTCCATACAAAAGAGTGAGATTAAATGATGATTAGTGTCACTGAGTTAAAGCAGTGAAAACATATTTTATTCAATAACTATTGTCAGTAGGGGGAAAACTGAGCTCCATTCCAGTTTGTACAGATGCAATTGGACATTTTACAGGAACGGGGGAGGGGGGGCCAGGGATCAGTAGAGTCAGAGAAGTGAAAAATTACAAAACATTGGTCTGTGTCAATGCGATTAAACCAGCTGTATCTGCTAGCTGGCAGATACCAAAATTAAGAGTCTATCTTCCCACAGATACTGGAAGACAGAGGCCCTAACCTTCCTGATGATTACATTTCAAGGGCATGACTCTCAGGACCTTGAGAAAGACACTCTGAGTTGTAAGAGATACATACAAGTGTAATCCCTTTTTATCCAATGTTTTGAGAAAAGTAGGTCAGGGACCTACCATCAGACTAGAACATACTGTAATTCTCCTTGCAGACAAGCTTTCTTTTCAGACAAGCTTCTTTTGTTTCTTTTTGTTTGTTTCTTTTGTTTTGTTTTTTTGGTTAACCCTCACCCAAAGATATTTTTTCCATAGATTTTTTTTTTTAGACAGAGTGGAAGGGAGGTAGGGAGGGGAAGAGGGAGAGAGAGAGAGAAAGAGATGTGAGACACCTCCATCTCCCACACGCTCCCCAACAGGGGGCTAGGGATTGAACCTGTAACCTAGATATGTGCCCTTGACCAGGATTCGAATCTGAGACCCTTCAGTGCACAGGCCAATGCTCTAACCACTGAGCCATAGTGGCCAGGGCACAGACAAGTATTTTAATGAAAAGTTGGGGTCAATGCAGAGCTGAGGGTCATCCTAAGGGTATGGCAAGCCTCTTACTGCAGGGGTTTGGACAGAGTTAGGTGCTGAGAGTTCTGAATTTCTCATTAGTCCTTTTCTACAATTTGTCTACTCCTTCCAATTCTTACTGATGTTGTTTTTGTTCCAATACCTGGCTGGGTAATTGCAATAGCCTCCTAAGTGATTTTCCTACAGTGGCAGTTCCAAAGGAGTAAGGAGTGGGTGGAATAATCTAATCTTCATCAGTCATCTCACCCAAAAAGGCACTTAATGTAATTAATATGTGCTTGTTATGTAAAGGCAGCTTTCAAACATAAACTCCACCCTCCTCACCAAGCTTC